AGCTGAATCCCACTAAACTCAATGAGAGGCAATGGCTTTGTTGCCTCTCATGGGGAGTGATCCTTAGGCTTTATCACCTTCTCCATCTCCCTGCCTGTTTTCATTGTAGGCATCAGTGCAAAATATCTCTGTAGAGCTAGAGCAGTGATTTGGAGGAGCCTCAGTGGAACCTGCTGTCACCAGAACTACCCCAAAGAGGAATCACTTTCCTTCTGCAGTTTATTCCCATTGCCGCTCCCTTGAAGCTTGTGTACATGCAGCTACAGGGATGCTCCAAGTGTTCCTTCATCTACAGAATTCTGGTAAACTCTTCCTTTCCTGTTCTTTTTCCTGTTCTCCTTGAGAAAATGTCTGTAACCTTTTCCTTCCATGGATTTTTCTCCCTTACATTTTTGTTTTTAGGGCTGACAGTTTTTGTTTTTCCTGAGCTGACAGTAGGAAGACAGTTTTCCATGACTTTGTCCCAGGCCTCCAAGGTAGCTCTGTATTCCAGCTCTCAGTACAGTTTCCATCAAAATATATGCAGTGATATTTGTGTGTACAAAATCCCCTTGCTGCAAAGCTTTGGACAATGGGGTCTGTGCCCTCACTCCACATGCATGGCCCTGCTTTGTGAAAACAGGTCCCATAATTGAAATAAATCAATATGCAAAAGGCAAAAATAAATAAATAACTGTGTTCACCCAGGTTGGATAGGGCTTTTGTTTGTGCCTTCGTTTTCTTCAAGGCGTGGGTAGTGAATCATGACAAATTACTTTCTGGAGCTTTGCAATCTATTCATTAATGAATTAATTTTAACATGCACCAGCCACGGCCCCCCCCCCCATGCTCCTGCATGGTCCCTGGGTGGGGATGGACCAGTGGCTCTGTCCTCAGCAAGTGGACAAGCTCAGAAAAAGTGTGACAAAATGTATGCAATGTTGGGTGGCCCATGCAAGGCAAAGACATTCATCCTGCCCTTCCAGTTGTTGAATTTAGGTGAGAAATGCCAAATATATGATTTGAGGAAAAAACATGGCCTCTGGGTGCTTGAAAGTAATTTTCCATAGGTGGTATTTGAGAATCTTATCTTCTATGTCATTAATAATGATCTTTGAAGGGAACCCTATAAACTGTCTTCCATTTCTGATGAGATGGAATAATTTATTACTTCAATTTCCCTGATTAATGTAAAATGTGTTTCAAATTTAGGTTTTACTTTAATATTTCAGCTTCCCCATGAGGGGAGCTGCAGTAGGGCAGGGTGACTGTGTCATCCCCCGTATCCACCCTCCCTATGCCATGGCATGTTCCCAAATCAGGGTGAGCTCCGCTAGCAGAGCAGACCTGCAATAAAATTAAGCAGCAAAAACAGCTTGTTTCAAGACCCTGCTCTCTAAAAGGCAAGAACACTGGTGCCCAGCTGCCTGGAAGGGCCAGATCCCACAGCTCTGAATGTTAAGCTATGATCTGAGTTTGGACATTCTCAAGAATGTCTTCTCCCAAAAGAACTGGAAAAAAGCCTGAAGTTTGTGCACTTTAGAACAAATCACATTGTAGGTAGAAACAAACCTATTCTCAGTAGGCTTTTTGCTGTTCTTTTACATCATTGCTTTCTTGAGTGCCAAAGTTGAACAAAAACATGGTGCTTTGTCTTGTCCTTACACCATGCACGAAGCTGAGCTCCAGGGTTCACTGAAGACATTCCATGAGCTGCTAAAACTCTTTACATGTTCTGTGTCTTCCATGGCCTATATTTATGCTACAGCAACTGGAGGGGTCATTTGTGTGCCTTGACCACTCAGGTCGCCCAACTCTAGTTCAAAGGGACATAAAAGACTATATTACTACAGTAGGGTCTTTATCTCAGTGAAAACAATGGTGCAATGCAGCAGTGCTGGGATGGAACGCCCTTAAATACATGCAGTGATAAAAAACAGAGCCCAGACAAAGAGGAATCTGTTTTAGAGAGACTTATTTATTAGAAGATAGGAGGTTGTTACATACAGATTCTGTCCTGCAAAAGTGTCCTGGTTAAGGATATGTCAGGGAGATGTTTAAACCCGTTAGAGGTGGCTCTGGTCTCCATGCAGAGATACTCAAGACACAGCAGAGCTCTGTCAGACCTGGCTCTCACACTGTTGCTCAGCTGCCGAGAGGCCTGACATACCACAGCATCCCTGAGCTCGTTACACCACCTTTATCCCACTGGAAACCCTGGCCTGTGGGCTGGAAACCAGCGGTGGGGACACCAGACAGTGCTGCAGAAGGGGCATCGTTCTTGGGGGAACCTGGAGGTGTTTTCCCCAAGTAGGGAATTGTCTTCCATCGTGCCAGCGATGAACACGTCTGAGCAAGGGGCTATGGAGATGCAACCATGCTGTGAGGTAGCATGAGGTAAGTTAAAATAAAACAAAATAAAAAAAGAAAGAAGAAGGAAAATAAAGATCTCTCTGCGGTGCAGAGAAGAGCTCCTGCCATCTTCCCTTACCCCAAAACCAGACAGAGAAGGCAATGTTCTAGTCCCCTGCAGAGACTGCAGAGAAAGCAGCTGTGATAGGTGGATCCCAAAAAGGCAGAGGTTTTGCCCCATAACAGTTGTGCTCCTAGCAGTTTTCCTCCACTTTCACAGGTGACCTGATTCCCGTTGGGTTGGCAGGTAGCGTTTGTCAGCCTTTCATAAGGCCTCTGCCCCACAGTGGCTCTGGGCCTTTGCCTGAGGAAGCCCAGGTGAATCAAAAAGCCACCGAACAGTGTTGCACCTCCTGAGTCAAATCCAGGCCCGTGGTATGCCACGCAGAGTGTGGTCACATTGGTGGAGAGGCAGGGACAAACAAAATGGCAGGTGAGAGGCATAAGCCATCACACTGCAATAACGAAGGGCCTGAGAGCAAATCTTCTGCAGGTGGTTGGTGGCTCACAGCCAGTACAAGGCTCGGTTTGTCTTTATTCCAGGCATGCATCATCCTACTGCACTTGGACAGGTACATGTGCAGAGCAAAGTGGGTTAAGCGGTGGCTGTAAGTTTTCTTTTCATACACAGCTATCTGATACGGATATTTTTCCAACATCTAGCAGGCTTCTTAAATGGGCGTATGACTCAAGAGTTATCTGTTTAATGAGCCAATCTACGGGTGCAGAAGGAGGAAGATAAATAAATACTTGAGTCTAACTCCTGAAGTTCCTTTGCTGAAGCCAAACCCTTGTCTACTCAAGGGTCTTTGCTGGCTGGGTCAGAGTATTACCTTCGCATCACTGTCTGCAAAGGCACGTTTTACTGCATTTCTCTTGTTCTGTGGCTCCACAGACTATTTGTAAAATTCTGGACATAATCTCCCGCTTTGCCTATACTGTATATGAGCTTTTGTCTACTGCAGGATGCTATCAAGGGTTTCCCTTTCCAGTCTACAAATCTGAAGGAGATAATTTTAACAGGCTTGCCAGAAATTATTAGAAACAGCTGCTTATGGTTCATCTATCACCATTTCTCCCTGTCTTTAACCCAAGAGTGGGCTTTGCTAGCCTGATATACTAGAAATTTTTGAAACTAAGGACTTCATAGCGAATGCTCACTGATGACAATGTCAATATGAAAAATAGGTCTTCAGAAGTGACAATTTCTGAGATGAGCGTTTTTCTTTTGCTACAGATAACCTTCAAGGTTGGAGATACTGGGGATGGGGAGTTGCAAGGCTGCAGCTATCAAGCAAAGCAGCAGACCTCCAGTTACCTTTAGGATAATAGACACGGCATTGAACAACATGTCTAGCTAGCTTTGGCACAACAATGCCTACTTTTAATCAGGTTTTATGTTCCTAAGGCACTCGGACTCCTTTTTTGGAACATGCACCCCAATGAGTCTGATTTTCTTGACTGTGAGGGTTAAGAAAATGCTTCATGAAGGCAAAGCGCAATTAGCTGAAGAGAAAAAATGCTCCAGACCCACTGAAATATCAAAACCCCAGAAACAATCATAGGGCACATCTTCAATTCTTTAATGACTTCCATGGTAGTGCTCCCTCACCTTCTTCACCCTTCAGTGAAGGTTGATATGAGAATCCCAGGTCCTCTGAAGGTCACCACAATGGTGTTACGTGGGGAGGGCAATACCTTGCTCCAACAGAGGAGTGTAGGAAGCCAAAGCTCTTGGCATAAAATTTGCCACAAAAGAACAAATTTGGGAGTTTAATGTGAAAAAATCTCCTTCTCTCTTTCCTCAGCCCTGGCATTCATAAAAAAAACCCTAATTGTCCCAGCTTGTTCAGGAGGAAAGGAGACATATTAGACAGCAGAATATCTGTTTTTACTGTCAGATTAACAGTTACAGGCAGCTTTTTGTCTCCCTTTCCATGATTCCCTTCCAGACCTGCTTCTTCAGCCACCCATGATGAGAACCTGTTCCTCCTAGGTCTTACTGAAAGACCTTGATGAGTGAAGCTCGCCTGTCAGAACTGTATGGACACTGTAGAAAAGTTCTCGTTGATGATTTTGGAGAGGAAACTTAGGAGAGAAGTCCATTTTCTCTCCAGAACACACGCACAAATGCAGGAGGCATGGTAGCCCATTTCCTCAAGACCAGACGATCTGGCCCCGATGAGTGCCTACAGCCTTCAGTCAGGGAACTCTGAGCATCCTCAAGGTGCCACCCTGACACGAGCAGTCCTGAACTCACCAGATCTTTTTGGGTCCCCCCTGTTCTGAGGGCTCTGGGGAGGTGTGCTGCGAGGTAGCGCTATGCGGCTGCACTAAGGAAGCCTAACGGGGAGAACGGACACGGAGAAGCTGGAGAAGCTCAAAGCAGAGGAGAGCAGTTCACTGAGGCTCCAACAGCGTGCAGCCAAGGGGCTGTTACCCAGACTTTGTGGCACTTAGTAGCCACTGTGTTTTGAGTATCTCAGCTGGGCGTATAAGACCAGTTCTAACAATATCCAAAAGGAAGAACGTTTTCTCATTCATATGGAGTACGGAGTCACAAGGGAATAACTCGCTAAATAGAAAGATTCTGAACATTAATTACAGTATCTTTTATAATTTTATAATTTAATTGCCAACCTTTTCCCTTGAAATTAATCACTGATGTACATCATATAATCAAACAAGCTTTTTAAAAAAGTACATCTTAATATAAATAGTTTATTCAGTGCATGGTTGTGTATACAACAAATAATAAACAACTCTTTTGTATCAGGCAGAAAGCTGCCTGTACAGAACTATGTCAGTTTTGGAGCACAGAATCCAACGATGATTAATGCACAAAATCTTACACATCATGCAACTCTAGGCCAATATTCCAACTTTCTCCCATGCAACAGACATGATGACCTAAATGGAAACCTAACTACATTTTTTTTTTAAACAACTGTTTCCAATAGCATGTATAAGTATATGTTGTTTAGGGGTAACCTGTCCTAACGCTTCCTCCTACACAATATTCACGTGCCCATTACAGTGAAAGAAGGACTTTTACAAATAAGACGTTTCTTATAAAAAATTAAGTCACCTTAATTCCACAGTTTCTGTCCTTAGAAAAGAAGCCACAACAATAGTTTAACATGACACACAAAATGGAATTAAGAGAAATCTACACTGGAGGATAATTTTATCCCTTTCTGTCAACTTCCACTTGGGATAACAAAACATTTCAGTTCCTACAGACTGGGGTTAGCACAAGAACTTTACCAGAAACTACAAATCTATAAAAATTTATATTTCGTTGTGTTTAAAACCACAAGAACACTGTTTGCTAGAGCCTGAGACGCCAACTCTCAGTTCCAACCCTGAATTTTTAATTATTTTTTTGAAAGACATAGCTTTAAAGACCCATTGGAGTTCAGAAATCAAAAAGTTGCACTAGTTCAAATTAAAGGATACATCTTTTTTATCAAGCCTTAGATATAAAACTGTAAGCCAAGGAAACAACAGAGTTTACATATTTGTTTTTTGTTTCCCCTATAAAACATATAAGCATTAAAATTTCCTTTGAAGAGCAAAAGTGGTCTTTTTCTTAGTTGGAAAGCAAATTCTTATCAGCAGTGAATGCTGTGAAATGTTTTTGTTTCATATTCCACAAAGCATAGGAGAGAGAGAGAAAGAGAGAGAGAAAAAGAGAGAGAGAAAGATCTGGACACCTCTTCTCCGAGATTTAATCCGCAGTTATGTTTGCTGGCTATCCAAGTGCCTTGTGATATGCACAAGCATATTCTACATTATTGGGGTATATCCTTTGACAACCAGTAGATCTAATGGCTGATAAACGAGTGACCTATGCAAGTTCGGTGGCTTGTCCTGGGCAATTGAACATTTGGATGAAAGACTGCTAGTAAGAATTCAACTGCATCCAGAGGTAAGGTTCTGTTTAGAGAGCACTTGGCTTGCCTTAACCTGGCTACGTTGATTCGTTTTGGCTCATGGATTTACCCCCATTTAGCACTCCTGAAACACTTCTGCTCTTTGTTGGGGTCCCACTTCCAGATCTTGAGAACTCTGTGAGATCGTGGAGAGAAGGCTCTTTGTACATGGCCACTGCAAAGCAAAAGAGAGGCAGCACATCAGCATGCAGTACAGACACTTGGTGCAACATCCAGCTACTAAACGCCCGGATTTTTCATTCCGCAATGAGCAACATAAGGAGTGAATTAAAAAATACAGCTTCCATTCAGAACACCCTAAGAAATTCCAAGCTCCTCTTAAAGGGAATGACATTTTAGAGAGGGGAAAAAAAAACCAAACCCTAGTTACCTTTTCTCCCAGTTAAATCACCCACCTACCCGCTCTGCTTGCAAAGCCTTGCAAGATAGATGTGAGCTGATATAAATCAGCATTTCCTTACTAATGGTGAAAGAGCACTGCTAACAGCTGTGATCTGGCCTATTACTTGTGTATACAGACCAAGCTGAAGAGTGTGAAAATGGTTTTTCAGCCTTCTGCTTCCTTTGCATTCATACACATAAATGAAGATCAACCTCAGCGTCAGTTGCCTAAAAGCTGCTCCTAAATGTAGGTTGCCAAGCTAGTCTGGAACCCACCAAAGGCTGTGCACCTTAGAAATATCCCCTCTGATTCCAGAATGACACTGCCTGAAAAGGTGTCTTAACAGCGTAACCCAGAAGTGAAGAGCCCACAAAGGAGGAGCTCGTGGAAGCTTTTTCAGGAGAACACAACCATGAAGATATTTTCTCACTTTGCATTAACCAAAGAAGAATCCGAGTCTGAGCACAGCACTGATTCAGATGCTCCAGGGATGACTCCTGGCTTTTACTACACAGCAAGATATGTATGCCACATGCATTATTACCTTTAATGTCACATGATGATGCCACATTAATTGTGGTTAAATAAGCACTGCACACTGCAGCTTTATCCCAGACAAAAACAGACAAACATCCTGTAATACATAGCACAGATTGACGAGATATACAGCAAGTTGGTAATGGCTGTGTAAGTGCTTGGGCTATTCCAAGCAAAGCCTTCATTAGATATAACAGAGATGCTATGGAATGTGGGCACAAAGAAACTAATGTATATATCTAGTTAGATGAGAGAAAGACAGAAGTAATGTAGAGAAGCATAAAAAATAGTAGGTTAGACTGAGAGCATGTTACAGAATATTATAACTTTGTTATATAGTTAGCTGTACCCTTCAAATATGTACGCATGGCAATTAAACATCCCTGACAATACAAAGTCAATTTAGGTAGATGGAGCAAAGCCAACAAATTACCTTTTAATGGTTTTGGAAGAAAGTGTGCTGCAGGTTTATTTTTCTTCACGTGGTTTCCTTTCATTATTTCTCCTTCCTTGTTAAGACCCAAATACCAACCCCGGCCAGACTGTTGCTGTCTATAGATCATTGAAGAATATGTTACGTAGTAGTTTTCAAATACTGATTCTTTGAACTTGCATTCAGGTGTAAAATGTTCCTGCAAGAAAGTAAAAGATCAATACGTGCAATGCAGAGTCTCCCATCAGTTAATACAAAAGAATCCAATATTAATTGCTTTTCTGACAATTAAAAGAACATACCTCCTACCCTCTGCTATCCAATTTAGAACACTGGCCCTAGAAGTACTAACAACAGACTAACACAATTTGAATCCCATGAAACGACACCGCGAGCAGCTCAAAGTAGCAGAATAAAATCTTTTTGAACACTGAGCAAAAAGTCTAAGTGAAGAAATAACGATTGATGCAACTAAAGGCTATCTGGTAGGCATGGTCCTGATGGCAGCCCCATGGGGCTTGCTGCAGTCCAGCTTTTCAGGCAAATAGCATGGCCACATAATGCCTCTGTGCATTAACTTCTGGCCTTAACTGCTCAGGAGGAGAGTGCAATAAAAATTCAAAGCCAGGCTATGATGAGTAAATGGTTTTTTACTAACCCAGCAACATTAAGGCAGCTTGTAGCAGCTGCTTCTTTGCTCTATGCTTTGCTCTTCCTCTGCTCAGTGCATCATCTGCTGTCAGAGACCCACTGCAGACATCAGCCTCTGCCTGGGGACAGGCATGAGCTAAATGGCATTGCACTTACAGCATGTACAATCAAGAGCTGGCCTTCATGTTGAATTGCACTGTTTTTTTTCAGGAGATGATACTAAGCTAACAGCTAACATAAGGAACAGCAAACCAGGAGAGAGCCTTGATCCTCTGGTTTTCACCATGCAGTGGTCTTCACTCAGTCAGTACCTTTTGGCACTATTAGCCATTTATGATAGTGATGGGTTGACGGTTGGACTGGATGATCTTAGAGGTCTTTTCCAACTTTAATGATTCAATATTTCTAAGCAGGATAGGATGCAGGCATGAAACATGGGATGGAGCTAAGACCAAAATGCCAGGCTGATGGAACCACTCCATGTCTTCCTGAGGTCTCTGGGTGCTGCAAGTTTTGTAGCAGCATAACTTTCTATGAGGTCTCAGCTATGATGTGGCACTGAGTGACAAGGATTGGTGGGCATGTTGGGGATGGGTTGATGGTTGGACCTGATGATCCTAGTGGTGTTTTCCAACCTTATTGATTCTATGATTCAGCATGATTTTAAGGACTCCTAAAACCATATGGAATATGAAAGATGAAGGGCTTGGTCTGGTGATGCAGATGTTATTACTATCCCAACACTGCTTATGCAGCCATGGCTGTTTGCTGGGCTTTTCTTGTGCAGGCAGCTAGCTTCTGCAGAGCTGTCCTTGTGCTCAAGTATCCGGCAGCAGCACAAAGGAAAGGAAGAAAAATTGTGCCTGCATAATGATTGTAATTTTGATTTTTAAAAAAAAAATCACAGGAAATTAAATGTCTCAGGATCTTAAGATGTTCTTATCTAGTTTCTGAAATATTCTTGTATGAGAAAAAGATGGTATTTATTTAAAAAAAAAAAAGTACTTTTTCTGCATATCTTTTCACATTTTGTCTTCTCACAGGAGAAAGAAAAAAATTTCTCATCCTCTGATTGGCATTTGCTTCAACAAAGAATGAGAAGTAAGCAATTTTCTTCCTTTTTCCTTCAAACTAATTGGCTGTTATTTAGTTAATTGACGATTGGTTTCAATTGCTGTCAAATCGAGACAGTCAGTGTATTTTAGCAACATTTCTAAATAAAAGCCTTCTCCCATTGTACCCTGCCCAGTGCTAGCCATGTTAACAAAGACTATTGCCAATGTATCATCCAATTAGCAGCAAAATAGAAAACTACAGTGCTCCTGACAGATGATTACAGTTTACGTACAGTAATTTGGAGCTGTTTTGGGTAAAAAAGGCCCCACTTGTGCGCAGCAGCAGAGGGGCAGATTGTAAACAGATCCACAGTGTTTACTCCAGCTCTCCTAGGAAGCAAATTAACCTCAGCACAAGCAGCAGTAGCCAAGAGTCCCTCGAAGCAGATGCTAAAAAACTCATTTGCTCTTGATTTTTCTCTTGGCTGTGAGGTTCGTGGTGGAATTCACCATGAGTTTCTTGCAGCACTGCCCAAGTACAGCTGGACACTGCCTGCTCATGCCCACCAACCCAAATGGGCATCACCACAAGCACCACAGATAGCCACCCCTCCCTGCAGCAACCCGTGGCTCAGTAGTAACAACCATGGTGAAGATATCTTGTGACAAACAGTGGGATGCAGACACAGACACCATTCAATGTGCTCAGTTACCAGGCCAAATTCCCTCCCATTTTTCCACTACTGCAGCAGACAACCTAAATGCCTTGGCACAAGCACACACCCACTCTTCTTTATTGACCTCTCCTTAACTCCAAGGCTATGGCTGTAGCTTCAAAAAGGTGCTGCACAGTAGGAAGGGCCTTCTCCTTGCCAAATAACAGTGATCCAACATGGCTGCTCTGCTTACACCAAAATACCATGCTGCTGCTCACATTTTGCAGGTGTTTGTTCCCATCCATCACTTGCCTTTTATTTAACACAATACGATCCTTTCCTACTCATTAAAAAAAAAAGAATGTGGAAGGGGAACTGCAGAAGAAAGCTTTCACTAAGGAATGCTGGCAGATGTGCTCTTGATTTAGGGGTACTGCAATTAAAACACAGTCTTCTGAGTTTGGCAAATGATGTGGTTCTTAGGGACATGGTTCAGTGATCGTTACTGGTTCTAGGGGGATGTTTGGACTACATGATCTTAAAGATCTTTTCCAACCTTAATGATTCTATGACTTCATGATTCTATGTGCCAACCCAACTGGGCATGGACACGGCTCCTCTATCAGCACATCAGTTCAAAATATAGTGCAGAGCAACAGCTACACAATGGCCATTCTGTTGTCTTTGGTGATAAGTTACTTGATAGAGCATTGAGAAAGGGCAAGTTAAGGTTGGGAGATCTTCAAGAGTTCTAATTCTTGGGAGAATTCCCTTCAGCTGCCCTGAAAGGAAATATGTCTTCTATTGAAAATGAAGTGCATTCTGAGGTGTCAAATATTATGAATATATTGCTGCACAAAACAGAAGAGAAAATAGGTATTTGTGTGAAAGAGTATCTCAGTCTCAGCTTACCTCAGCAGTCAGGGATAATGGCACTACATGACAGTACACTGAACTCATCCAAGCCCCTCACACACGCACCCTTAACGATGAATGAATGAATGAATAAATAAGAGTTAAAGAAGGCGCTGGATTCACTGTAGTCGTGACTCAGCCATGCTTAAGTAAGCAGCAGGATGAACTGTCAGAAGCTGCTTCTTGACTCTGAGCTGATCAGCTGAACTACTGAAGTGTTCCTGCATGAATAGTTCTGCAGCTGCATTAGATATGTGAAAAATAATTTTTTTAAAAAGGGAATAATTTGGTGTATGATAATATAGTAAAAAGGCATTGTAACTAGCATTTAGAGTGGCTGTATTTCCAGGCAGCTGACTGGATTACATCTAAAATAATCCAGTCTCTTCCATACAAGAACTGCGTTATAGATCTTCCAAAGCTGAGAGCTAAAATACTGCAAAAGCAACCCTGGCATTCTACCTGCTCTAATTGTGCAAAAGCCATACTTAAGCCAAACACCATCCAAATTACCAGCCAACACAGCCATCTACACTGCAGGACTGAATATTAAACATCATGGGCTCAAATGATTGTAATACAGGAATTCAGACTCCCCATAGACAGGGAGTGTGGAACCCGCTTTAAATGAAGATATTTAAAGTTTGCAAGGTTGCATCATGCAATGAAAGCCTTTTCTCAGGATGGCTGTACACACAGTATGCATTAGAAGGACAAAGATGCATGCTCTCTGCTATCAATTGCATATTGCATTTGCATTGTGGATGCTGTCAGCAGGGAACATGACCAAATGCTTTACAGAGCAGCACGCTTAAGTCATTGGGTCAATACTGAGTTTGTTAAATTTCTGTATATTGCTACAGGTAGCATGTTTTATTGCTACCAATAGCAGCTGCCCTGAATAATCAGAAATACTTACTGAGATGGAATTAGTATTGGTGGCATGAAAAAAAAAAAAACCAAACCCACAACCAACCCAAAACTTTGAAAAGTATTTAGGAAAAGCACTGGGTATATGGAAAACTTGGAGAGTGTTCTCACATAGAATTCTATGTTCATTTTGAACGTAGATTTTTTTGTTTTCCTCCATATCCTTATTTCTTGCAGGACTACACCATAGCCCAGGATTCCATTCTATAATCATGAATTTTTGAAGGAGCCACTTTAAGGCTCCTGAGTAGTGATTTTCTGCACTAGTGAGCCTGCCTTTTCTTATTAAGAGATTGATGTCCTCCATCTCGGCATGTGAAGTTCCAGGGTGTGTCCCCTGTATCTTCACCCTGTAACGTGCAGTGATGCCAACAGCACAAGATGTGAATACTTCTATTTTTATGTTATCAGAACTAGCTGCTTTTAGATCACCAATGTGAGATCACTCTCTGAAGAAAGTAGCTGTTATTTCTGAAGTAAGGCCACTAAAATCTGTTTGCAACAGTGACAGCAGCTTATAATCCACCTGAAATAATTTATTCTGGATCAGATATATATGGCAGTTCCCACAGACAGGATGCAGTGCCACAAAATTGCCCTTTTTGCTTCAATTTACCTATTGTGAGGAATCCTTGTGGTTTGGGTGGGAGCAACTCACAGTGTAATTACCACGCATAGGAAAGAGGAAATCTGCAATCCTGTTTGCATGCAGCAAAGTGCTCAGCTGTTTTGTCTGTGTGAGAACCCACTTGGAAAATGCAAAGTCAAAGGTATCCAAAATCAAATTCCAGCGCATGGAACTGCCTAGGATGCTGTAATAAGCAGGAATTGATAAAGTGAAGCAGAAAAACCTCAGTGGTGTAGATTTCTTTAGGACAAAGATTCCAGAAAGAATAAAATGGAGCCCAAGGAAGCTGGATTTCCAGCATCTCCAGATTGGGATTTTAGGTGGTCACTAAGTATTCTCTGAACATATGAGAAAAGCATTGAAA